TGTAAAACATAAATACTTCTTGGTTGTTACAACTAGGAATACATAAACATGAACAGATTATGACCAAAACTGAGAGGGAAAAGACCGACAAAACAAATTACTTAAGAGATTTTAAAAGGAATTAATAGGGCTGTTTCCAGCTTCTTCTAGAACAACCAGGCATGAACATAGATTAGTCAGCACAACGATGCTTGTATTTCGCACATAGGTTGTAAACATACTATAATGTGTTGGTTGTTACAACCAGAAATACATAAAAAGAGTTAATTATAACCAAAGAGGAGAGCGTAACGACTGACATAATGATTTACTAAAGAGATTAGGATGATAAGAAAATCAGCTGTTTTCTGCTTCTCATATTTCAACTAGGCTTGGACATACATGCAGATTAGTCAATACAATAGGCTTGTTAAATTTCACACCTAGGTTGTACACCTAGATTGTAAAAAATAAATCTCTTTGTTGCTACTACTAGGAATGCAGAAAAATGAACACATTATAACCAAAACTGAGAGTGTAACGACCGACATAACAAGCTATTAACAAGATTAGGATAACAAGAAAAAAGGCTGGGTTTTGCAGGTCCTACTAATTGCCGTCCGGAGCCGTCTGGAAAGCAGCACTCATCTGGACTCTTACTAATAGCCGTTCAATTGATTATCATTTTAGGCCAGTTTTGTTAACAAAGAAAAAACTGCTTTAAAAAATTGCAAGGGAAAATAATCGAAAAATAAGTCTACTGACGTCTGTCGACGGCTTCCGACGGTTTCGGACCGCTTCGGACGGCAATTTACACTTTGCCGCCTCATCACGCCGATTGGCGATGTTTACCACCCAGTTTCTTTGGATTTTCCCCCAAATCCCTTTGCCTTTGATGGCAAGAGTTTTCACTATATTATGAGCCTTGTGAAGGCAAGTGTTAACAAACAAACGGCTCCTTAAGCAGTTGCGAGCGCCGTAAAACCCAATACTAAACTAAACTTAAAACAGACGGCGCCAGACAGCAATTAACAAACAAAACATTACTTTAAAAAATCATAAGGCAAAACAATTTTTTTTAAAGTCTACAGACGGCTCCAGACGGCACCAGGCGGACAGGTGAGGCTTCGACAGATATTAATCAGTACAAAGATGCCAGTGAAATAGCACGCTTTTGTAGTTGTAAAACATACATATCTGTTGGGTGTTACAATTAGGAATACAACTCCCCCACCCCAAAAAAACAACAACAAAAACAACAATCAACAACAACCCCCCTCCCCAAAAAACAAATACATATCTGTTGGTTGATGCAACAAAGGATACATTAATGAATATATTTTAACCAAAACTAACGGTGTAACGACCGACTTAACAAACTACTAATATTAGAATAAAAAGAAATATGCCTGTTTCCGGCTTTTTGAATTGCAACTAGGCTTGGACAGAGTTTACGACACAGGTGCTAGTAAAATTGCACACAAAGATTGTAAAACATACAAATATGTCGGTTGTTTCTTGTTTCATTTAGGCATGCATTAAAGAATAAGAATTTACAGACCCTAACCAAATCTGAAAGTGTAACGACCAACAGAACAAGTTACAAACAAGATAGGATGATAAGAAAAATAAGGTGTTTTTCTGCTTTTCATATCGCAACTAGACTTGGGCAGAGATTTGTAAGTACAAAGGTGCTTATTGAATTGCACACCTAGGTTGTAAAACATCATTATCTGTTAGTTTTTACTACTAGGAATTTACAATGAATATTTTATAGCTAAATCTGAGAGTGCAACCACCAAATATAACAAGTTACTAAAGAGATCAGGATAAAAAAGAAATATACATAATTATGCCTATTTCAAAATTTTTAAGTGGCAACTATGCTTGGACAGTTAATTTCACATGTGCTTGTAAAATTGCAAACAAAGATTGAAAAACATCTTTATCTGTGGGTTGTTACGCCTAAGCATAGCAAAAAGGTACAGAAAAACTGAGAGTGTAACGACCGACATAACAAAGTACTTTAAAATGATTAGGATAATGATACATATAAAAATGTTACCGGCTTCTCACATCGGAAACTAGGTATGGATAAAGTTTAGACAGCAAACAGCTGCTTTCAAAATTGCAGAACTAAGGTTGTAGAACATTAGTTATCATAAGTTACAACTAGGCATACACAAAAATGAATAGATTATAACAGGAAAACTGAGGGTGTAGCTACTGACAAAAGAAGTGTCTTTAGAAATTTGGATGCAAAGAAAGTCTCTTGCAGGCTGCAGTTATGGAGATAATGCTGCCAAGGGATTTGAATTGAATAATTTCGGTAAGAGGTTCTCCAGAAGTGATGGGAGTATGCCGTTTATTGTAATTATAATCAGAACACTTCTGTTTAGGAAATTATTATTACAAGGCCAACTTTTTTCTACAGTTCTTTGTTAAGTTCTTTGTTTTTGATTGTATTTTAAGAAGGCCCCTACTGTGATGTCATCTTCAAAACGGAAATCTCCTAAATGTGTATAGGCCCTACCATTTGTCCACCCAATGCCCTTTTCGATGTCTTTTCTCTGTCACTTTACAAAATCGATCACATTTCCAAATGTGCTGTTGACTGCATACAGCCTTGTCTAACTCCAGTATTTACTTCAAAACTGTGGATCTTTCTTATTCAACCAAGAAACAGCAGCAGCTTGTTTTGGTATAATAATATATTAATTATTTTATACAGTTCCCATTTATTGCTTACGCTAAAAAATATGTCTATCATGTATTTTTTTTTCTTTTTTAAGATCCTGTTCTATTTTCTGCACTTCTCTTCTTTCTCTTTTTCTTTTTCTCAAATATAAGCAACAAAAGATGAAGACGAAATCGAAATGATCTTTCCAGTTTGATAATGGCCAATCAGTTGAAGGCAAGGCTATTATTACATTATTTGTGTAATAAAATGTCGAAACTTTCTACTTTCTAAAAAAGGCCGCTGGTAAACCAGAGACTATAAAAGTTGAACCGGAATTACCAGATATTATATCTACCCACTTTCGTTTTCTTTCCAGTCTCCAGCTGTGTTTGAGAAGTCAGAGTCGTCCATTTCTATGAATTTATCTTTGCAGAGTTTTGTCCATTTAACCTTCAAGTAATGTGATTTTTGATGTTGGACGTAGATCTAGATATCTAGATCTAGATCTCTAGATGTAGGTGTGCAGACATTTCTACCTTTACTGTCATACGACCATCACGTAGAGTGTAGACATACGAATGTAATAGATCTAGTAATACATTTTCTTTTCAAATTTGTCAAAGTGGAAGTCCACGCATCGATCGGTCGTCTTCAATCTTGCGATGAATGCGATGTAACTTACCTTTTAATTGTTGATAGAATCTAAAGTCTAGTCAATAATATACATTATTTCAGTAGCAGAGTTCTGTGATATTGCACTGTAAAGTTGAGGGATTCCATATCGAGCGACAATTATGTTATGAAACGGGTAGAATAGAGGGTTAAGGGGCCGCTAGGGTTTGAGTTTGGGGAAGGGGTAGATGGGTAGATCTAGATCTAGGGGTAATTGAAACTAGTAAGCCCTGTTGACACTATTACTATTCTCAATGAATAAAATAGTTTGCTTGTAGGCTACTTGAGGACCACTCAGCACTACCTTCACCGAGTTCCTCTCTAAAATTAGGCCGACTCTATTTCTCCAAGACCAAACGCTCTGGAAAGTGAACGAACTGTATTTTTCTGAAAATTTTCCGT